ATAATTATGAATTAAACTACTGTTTACTCTCAGTAGACCTCTGGTGACTGAAAGCTCTGTTCTGACATATATATATATATATATATATATATATATATATATATATATTTATATATATATATTTATATATATATATTTATATATATATATACATACAATTCTGCAAACCCCAGTCCAGTGACTTGGAGAGAGAAGTTTGACTTCTCACAACTGTTTTGCACAAGCTGAACATCACCACATGCCTCACCTCAACAGTGCAGTGTTTTCTTCAAGGAATACAGAAATCCTCAGAAAGGGAGCTTGATTTAGGCTCTGCTTGGTGCCACTGAAGTCCCAGGGAGCTAAGCTCTTGGTTAGTCTCACCAGCTGTTGAATCCTGCTGCAACCAGGATCTTAAAATGGATCTTAAAATCCTATCCTTGCGAGGACTGCACATGCATTAGATTGTATTGAAATCTACTTTGGTTTGAAAAGAAGAACAAATTAGTAGACAAATAAAAAAAGTCTGAGAGAGATTATTTAATCCCTAACACTGAGTTCAACCTTTGGAAAGAGTCAAAATCTCGTGAGGCTTCAGGGGAAAGGAGGACACTCAGATGAGGCCGAAGCAGCCCACAGGGGAAGCTGCCTATTTCATTTCTGGAACATGGGCCATGTGCATCTATTTTTAGCTTTGAACTGAGTTCCTCTGCCTCCTGCCAGAAGTCCTGAGCCCTGTGCTGGTGCAACGAAAGCAGTGGCTCAGCCATTCTCTAATAGCTTTTACTTCTTAATAAAGAGCAGCACTTAGGCAAAGGATGAGGTTACTGTCGGAGGGGTCATGATTAATAATGATTAATCTGATCCTTGCCAACATGAACTGGATCCACCATTCACTAAATAATTACTCTGCAGCATGGATACCATTTCCAGAGGAGGCACATGTTTGTCATATTAAAACCAAGACCAAACACAGGGAAGGAAAAGGGGATCTGACTTCTCAGTAACACTTGATCTCACAGGAACCACCGGAAAAGTTAAGCAAAGGGAGGGGGGGAAAGAAGCAAAAAAAACCCCTACAACAACAACTGAAAATCAAAGTATAAAAGCAGTTAAACACTGATGAGTCACCCACCTTCTTTTGGGAGAAGCAATGGAAAGAAAATAAAACTAAACCCTCAGAAGGGAAAGCTGCACGTGCTGAGGATATGGTGCACTCTGCTACTTCTGGCTCATAACCTTATGCATAACTCTAATATGCACATTATTTGCCCACCCACACATTTCCCTCCTGTTCTTAAATTACATTTTTGTTTTCCTCAGAAAGCACACAAATGAAATTGCTCCCTGGGAAACATCTTTCCTTCTTTATGTTAGTATGCTACTTGGCACAAAGAAATCCTAGTCCAGGACTGTCATTCTTAAACAACAATGCATCTCAAATAATAAGGAACATTATAACTTTATAACATTATGGGGAAGCATAAGCTAATGGGAATCATAATAAGCACTCCAAAGGGCATATATGAGCCTTACAATTATAGCAGGATGCTTGTGGTGCAGAGACTTGGTTCTGGGCCTCAGAGCATGGATAAATTTTACTCCCACAAAGCACACAACAACAAGCAATGGTGCCAAAGGCAGACAAGGATATGGGGGTTTTGCTTGCAAGAGGTGACCTTATCTGGGGACACCTCTCCATCATCTTGCTTCACTGACCCAAAGCTTCCTCAAGACCATCCATAGGGGATGCTATTCTAGGTTTTTCAGTGCACTCAGCTCTATTCCCTTTGAGGTTTTCAAAGCTTTGGTGGGATTTATATTGCACTGTTTACCCTACCACGTCATCATGCAGGGTTTGATTTGGACTGCGAGGCCACAACACAGACCACCAGTCCCTCTCCTGGGCTGGTGCAAATCCAACAGGAAGGTTGGGCTCCTTGTGCTGTTGTGAAATCCCAGCCCTGTGTAAGCCCATTTGGACTTCTGCCCTTGACAGGTCCAGGTTTTACACACTGGTGACTTGCAACATGGAAAATACCACGCAGATAGTTGGTGTCTTTGCCAAACTCAGGGAAGCAGGGCGCAGGTCAAGAAGTGCCATTGCTTTTAGAGGCATCCTGGAGAACCACAGAATCACAGAATGTTCTGAGTTGAAAAAGTCCCACTAAGGTCGTCAAGTGCAACTCTTAGCCCTGCACATACAATCCCACCCTGTGCATCCCTGAGAGCATTGTCCAAACCCTTCTGGGGCTCTGGCAGCCTCAGGGCTGTGCCCATTCCCTGGGGAGCCTGGGCAGTGCCAGCACCCTCTGTGGGAAGAGCCTTTTCCTGATATCCAACCTAAATCTCCTCTGGTTCAGCTTCATGCTGCTTTCTCAAGTCCTGTCTGCTCACAAGAGTGAAGAGATCAGTGTCTGCCCCTCCTCTTCCTCTCACAAAGAAGTTTTAACTACAATGAGGTCTCCCCTAAGTCTCCTCCAGGCTGAAGTAGGAAATGTTGGTAAATTAAATCCATGGCAATGAGGCTATGATTTGGTTCAGCTGGGGCAGTGTGTTTAGGATTTTTTTGCCAGTTTCCAAATTCACTTGAAGTAATGAAAGAAAAATCAGCTCTTTGAAAAACATCACCTCTCATAAATTTCAGCTGAAAAGTAGTTGGTGACTTTAAAACCAAGCCTTTAAATAGCTAATGGTATAAAACCCACATACCTATTTATGCATTCATTCATGCAAATGAAAACTAAGTTGCATTTTCACAAAACTTTACAGACCCCCAGAGTGAAACACAAAGCAATGCAGGGGATAAAAAAAAATAAAAGGCCCCAACAACAATAACAATAATGAAGGTAAATCTTTAAAATCTGAGACAGAGTGCAGGAGGTAGGGGTAGAGCTCTGCAAACAAAACTAAATCCAGTGCACTGTTTTTCCCCTTCACAAAGTGAAACAAGCTGTTCCTAAAAAAATGCTTCCTTGGTTTTCTGGCAATTAGTGTCCTGGAGGATTAGCCTACAATCATCGGCGAGTGTTTGCCTTTCCCAGCCAATGTCACCATAGAAGTCTGTGTTTATCTACAAGGCCCAGGGGACAATTTATAAGCTGAGCTGAGGTCCTGCATTCACAGACAAATCTTCCACACTGCCACCCACCCTCCTGTACTTTAGCTTCCTCCCCATCTACCTCCTATCCCCTGACCTACAGACAGGACCCTGCCAGGAGCATGAAGAATGAGCTTTGCAGCCTCTGAAGCAAGCACTCGCCCAACAGTTTATGTTGATACAGCAAATAAAGAAGTACTGATTTGGTCAACATATCATCAGGCATCAAAAATTAGACTTCAGGAAGTAACTGAATGCAAAAAATATTTTATCACTGTTCCAGAAACCATCAAGGAGAATGGGATATTTTTTCCCCCTCTGAAAACTGTTGCCTACACTTAATTAAAATATTGCCATTTGTGAGTTTGAGGTCTACTACCCAGGGTTTGCTAGAGATAGTGCTTTGTAAAACATCTCTGTAACTAAAATCTTCCAACTTTATTTCTAATCAATGCTACCAGGGCTTTAACAGTGTTCAGGTCCCCTTAAAGTAATTCAACCAGAGTACATCAAAATACAAAAGAGTAAGATTAGTAAGAGTGCTTATTTCTAAATTAATTTTCCCCTGATGTGTTAGAACCTCAAAATGAGAATATTAAGCTTGTATTTGAGAGAATGGGAAGATAGTCTTTTAAAGAAAAGTAATATGAATCCTTGATGGTAAACTGATGATACAGCTCATGACAATTTATTTCTTAATTTGAAAATTCTAATAAAAGCATCAAAGCAAAACAAAGCAAATCAATGAAAGACTTAGTTCTAGAAAGAATTCATAAGTGTGACCAACAGTCCTCACAACAGGGAATACTGCAGAACAGGTATATTGATGGATGGATAGGTTTATAAATAAGATAGATCTGTTCTCAAATCTCAAACATTAACAAGACGAGGCTTTGAGACACTATTATTAATTAAAGTTGATGAACATGCCTGTTGAAGGTGAAAACCACTTTTCTCCCTGAGAATTCATCTCTTTTCCTTTCAGGAAACTATCAGGAGTTTCTGGACCTTCATGGACACAGTTTGAATCTGCCCCAGGTCTAAACCCAGTCACAGGCTGTCCTCAAGATACATTAGGGAGCAAAGTCATTTGGTAATTGAGACCAGCTGCTTCACTCTGCCACATTTAACATTGGGTGACCTGATTTTATAAAATGTTTATACTCAAACCAAATTTTGTTTCATCTTTGGAAAAAATGATCTCCAGATTCTAACTCATCTTTAGCTATGAAGACAGGAGGCCATCAGGACTAAAAAAAAGATTGTCAGGGATGAACTTGGCTAGTCTGAATAAGTGCCAAGTGGTAGGGGGAAGGAAGAGACCACCAGCTGGCTGTTATTCCAAGCACAGTCCATCTCACTGGCAATTACTGAACCCTACCAGTGATCCCATCAATGTCAATTTGACCAATTTTAGAATAAGGGGCCATTCATTCCAAGTAATGAATATTGAAACCTGGCCATCGGTTTGTGAACAAATGTCATGAGGAACCCCAATAAAGAATGTCCTTGTGATGGTGTCACTTCAGAACAAAAGCATGCAATGAACTACCACCCATCCAGGCAGCTACAGTAGGAGACCAAAGGTTGCATGCATTTAGCCAGCAAGGAAAAGCAATATTCTTTAAGAGAGGCATTGCCTGGAGTGGATTCTTATAAAGAAACAGAATTCATGAATAAATAAACCAGATGGGAATAAGCCAGGCTAGGGAATTAACATCTCCTAGTGCAATGAATCCTCAACCTTGCTTGAGGGTTTTTCTACAAGTAACAAACACAAAAACATTAATGTTGTACCATTGTCAATCATGCCAAGGACTCTGTTTGTGTCCAGGAATTCTGATATGCAACAACGCAGATCAAATCCACCAGATGTTAAGACATTCTTAGATTTCACCAGTTAAGGTACATATTGACTGACCTGATCTGAGTCTTTCACTTGAGAATTTTTCCCTTTTCTGCAACCACAACTCATAAGCAGTTTTGAATCTCCAATGACTTTTCCCTATAAGAGATAAGGAAGGAAAAACATCAGCACGATCTGAACCACTGAGGACCAAGAGGGCTTGTATTTGTGATCAGGAGCAGGGGAAGGAAGGGCAGCCTGTGGACTCTTCCTGTACTGGTGGGAAGTTGACTTTCACAGAGGGGGAGCTGCCAATCTGCCAAGAAGACTTCCCCAAAGGATAATATCCCAACATTAGGGAAGTCACACAGAGGCAGAAGGAAGGCAAGGTGTGTGGAAAGCAACACTGGGAAAGCAAAGCTGAAAAGAAACATGTTATTTTAACCCATGGTTTTCATACACTTGCATGAACAGGGACATGTCTAGCATACTCACCCAAATACCAAACAGCAGTGACTTGAGAAAAAGCTCATACACTACTTCTTCTGTTCACCTTTACCAAATTAATGCTTACTTGCTTCTAATGTGCCCAGATTTGGTGAAATAAAGTCTTCAGGAGAGACTTGCTCCCAGTAGAACAAGGGGTCCACATCACCCCTGGTAAACCCATGCCAGGAATCCAAGAGCACACGGTCACCTAACGCTGCTGGTGCAGACTCTGCAATGTCTGTGACATAGACTCACAGAATGTTTGGATTGGAAGGGACCTTAGAGATCACCCTGTTCCACCTCCTCCCGTGGGCAGGGACATACTCCCCTCAACCAAGTTGCTCCAAGCTCTGTCCAATCTGGTCGTGGATACTTCCAGGGATTGATGCTCAAACCAACAGAGATTTGGAAAGACACAGCGTCCACTCACTGTCCTTTTACCTGTAACCAACAGTCTGAGAGAGAAGCTGACCTCAGACACCTTTATTTTTGTTGAAAACCCATCAGACTGACTGAATATGATCCAAGCAGCAAGGTTCCTCATGTTAACAGGGTTCTTTTCTGGGGATTATTTGTCACTTTGGTTCTTCACCAAAGTATTTTTGTGGCTTGATATCATCTTGATAAATCACCATGGCAAAAAGGAGTTGGGATTCCAAACTTGGTCAAAATGCTGCTTGAATTTAAACTGCATGGAGTCAAAAAGAGACAGTGAAGTCCCTACAAATGTATCACAATTGCTTGTTTTTCCACAGGCATGCACACAAAGACATTGCCTACTTCCAGACTTTTGCTGTCCACAGCTGAAAAATAAACAATCTTGGCAACTGCTGGGGAATGGAGAGAGAATCTGCTTGTGTGCAGCCTTGAACAGTCATGAGATTTCAACTGGATTAATTTATATAGAAAAGAAGATCACAACACAGTCAGTGAGTTTAGCCAAGTGGAAGTGCTCTGCCCTAAATGATGAGGAAGGGAAAGGGCACAATTAAAAGGAATTGCAGCCATTGCTCAATGTCAGGGCACAGCAGAGAGATGACCCTTGGTAGCAGGAATTAAAAACAGGCAGATAAACTTTTGGTCACCTTGGGAGAGTCTGCAACCTGCCAGGTGTGGAGAGGTCTCTTGCTTGGTGAGCTCAGCATCTCACAAATCTCACCAAGGTCAGATAATGTGCAGAAAATATCTTTTTCTCTCTTTCCAAAACAGAAGCTGGGAAAAAACTACGACACTGAAAAGGTTGTACTGATACTTAATCTGATAACTACCCAAAATGCCTTATGTTTGGGCTGTTGATTACAAACTGGCAGACTCTGAGGTTTTCAGGGGACTACTTCCAACTGGCCTCCTCTGCCTGTGACTCCCATCTGTCAAAGGTGTTTCACTCTTGCCCCCATTACTACAATCCTTCAACAACTGGTCTGCAATCTATTAAAGTTGGTTTTTTTTTTTTTTTTTCCTCAGAAAGAAGTGCTTAAACTGTAAGTTAAAGCAAGTGTATTAAAATGCTGTGTTAGAGACAGGAAACTGAGGCACAGGGAGAGACCCCTTTGTCTAACCACAGAGTATCTTCTAGACACTCCACAGCATATGAGACAAGTTGGAACTATAAAAAGAACTAGGAAAGACTCACACATTTCCCAAAAGGCCACTGGATGCCTTGGGGTGGCTATAGCATAAACATACACTTGTGGTAAGGAAACTATGTCCACATATGTCTCATTGGCGCTCAGCTTGTCCCACTGTCCTCTGCAAAGTTGTTATGTCAAATAAGATAATCCAATCCTTCTTTAACCACAAGCCAAGGGAAAAAAACTCCCATTTTTAGATCCTTCTATGGGTCTAATGCCACCTCAGCTCATGGCAAACCATGGCCATGTTCTTCTGCCCAAACAGAAGTATCACCAGTTTTGTTTAACAGAGAGAAATTACAAGATGTTGCCCATAACCACCTGGAAAATCAAGAGTACAAGGGAAATATGAACCCAGAACTTGAGAGTTTTTTCCTTTTCCTCTGACACTACAAGAATGAAAGGGCTCTTCAATTCCCTAAGAAAATGAAAGCAATGTGCTGGATAAATAATCCCACCTCCTTTTCCAGCTGCAGATGCACCTCTCTTAATGTGCTTTGGATGAATGAGCTACTACCTCCACCTTATTTTAGGAAAGCTCCTTATGAGCAGATGATTAATTTGCAGATAGGTGTCTAACATTAGGCAGCTAAGTTGAAAGGCAAAAGGGAAAAAAAAAAAAAAAAGCATATGGACAACATTTGCAGCCAGTCGCAACTCTGTTCCAGAGCAGATGGAGGCCTTGTCATTCAGGGGTTTCCTCACATACACCAAGCAGTTCAGTGGGGATAGGGAAAGGGGCTTCTGTTTGGATGCTTCTGTCTGGAACCAGATTAGAGGAAAGCATGCTTTTCCACAGCACACGCCTTGTGTTACATTAAACATGCATGTGCAACTTCAGCTTTTATTCAGCGATCTGAAACAGAGCCCTACAGGGTGCTAAGGGTTAGGGAGTTTTTGTTTGTTTATCTGTATGTTATTTTACAGTTTCTAGTGCCCAAGGAGTTCATTAAGAAATTAAAACACCTCGCTGGGGCTATCCTACTGTGGTTGTTGCCTCCCAATATTCCCCTCCTTTCTTCATCCAGCAGTGCTTGATGCTCACAGGCGAAAGAGAGAATACCAAAAAGAGAGGAGCCTCATCTGACTGGGTAGAGATGTTTGGTCTTAATTCAATGAGAATAATTTCTATGTTTCCTGGCTTTTTAGGAACATGAGGTGCTATTGTTTAGAAGCAGGTAGGCACAAGGTTTTCCAACAGGGAAGATCGCTTTGCCTTCTGCTGACTCACATCCACTGCCAGACATCACCCTTCCCAAGGCAAAAGAGCAAGAAGGCTCCTTGACATATGTCCTATTATCCACCTCTTACAGGGAATCTGGCTGGCCTCACCCACCTCCTTGCACCATGGGCTCCAGCAGTTGGCCAAAGTTTGCAGAAAAATGAAAAAAAAAAAAAAACCCTGTAATAATAGTAACAGGCTTAATTATCTCAGCTGCACGGGTGACAGGAGCTGAGCAGTTGCCAGTTTTAACAGCCTGTGGTCGAGAAAAACTGAACTGCATCACCCAGAAGTCAAATGAGGGTCGGTCACAACTCGTTTCACGCCAGCAGCTCCAGGGGAGGCGCAGGGCACACACAAATCACGGTGGCGTTGCCCAGAGCCATCCCGTGTGGAGCTGCCAGCCCCGCTTAAAGGAGTCAGACACGAGGCACATGGCACCAGCCGGCCCCCAGGGAGCTGCCAGGCTCTGTGCTCTGGAGTTGCTGGCTGGCATTGACAGTAGGATCCTGTCTTCCAAGTCTGTGGCTGGAAAGCTCAGCTCCAGAGGTGGGCTTGGCTAAGCACTGTGCCATGCACCTTGCAGAAGCTGACAGGTCCAGCTGGGCTCTAACCTGCTTGGTTTTCATTAGCCTTTCTCTCTTTTGAGCAACGGCAATTGAAAATACTGGAAGCAGCTTTTTCCCTAGGGAGCTGGCACAACCACTCAGAGGGGTGGTTGGGCACTGGAACCACCCCAGAGAAGGCCTCAAGTCTGCCACAGTCCAAAAAGCATTTGGACAAGGTTCTTAGGCACACAGTGTGATCCTTCAGGCTGTCCTGTGCAGGGCCAGGACTTGGACTCGATGATCCTTGCGAGTCCCTTCCAACGTGGGATGGCATTCTTTGAGCCTATGTATAGCACTGCAACAGCAAACTCTAAAAATCCCCCTGGCTGCATAAACACCATTAGGAAGAACAACACATTCAGTGTTTGTTATGTTTTTTTTGCTGTTCTGTCAGGGTGATCCACACATTTTGAAGAACCAGTACCCAAGTGCCTACAGTGGTAGAGTGGGAGAGAAGGGGGGAAAGGAAGGGAAACAAGAACTGAATCCAAGGTGGAGGCAAGCAGCAGTACAACAGACAGCTGGTGTTTGGGTGGTGGTAAATCACCCTGAAATGAGCCTCTTCCCTCAGCTCAATGAGGCCTAAACAACAAAGGAAGGCACAGCTTGCAGCCGGACAGCCTGCTAGCCAACCACAGACACACATGACAGCTTCATTCAGGAGCCCGGAGTCAATACAAAAGCTCCGAAATCAATCCGACATCCTGCGACCTCAAACAATGCGCCAAATCTTCTCAGAATTGGAGCCCCAAATGAGGGGGAGCAGCATTCAAGGGAGATCAAAACGCAGGGCTGGCATTGAAAGGGACTAAAAAGGAGAAGAATGTTCCCAGTTTATTAATGGTGAGGTCTGGCCGGCTGCATCCCAGCCACCATAGGTTACGTTCATTAAAGGGCAGCGCTTTGCACATATTATGCAGAGCGCCTGGAGAGTATGTGTTGTGTGCGTGTGTCCGCCAGCGTGCCCCTCACTTGCTAGAGATCAGGATGTGCCTTTCTGCTTAGCACTGTTGTCTCCATCAGAAATTCCTCCTGTGTGAACTGCAAACGGGGTTTTTTCCCACTTGAGCGACTGTATGGGCACAGACGCGCACACGTACGCACGCTCGCTCTCATCCCTGAGCCTGAAAAGCATAAAGAAACTCAGACAGACTCTTTCCAACTTAAAAAAAAAAAAAAAAAAGGAAAGAAAAAAAAAAGACAGCATTT